TGGCCTTCCAATTCTCACTATATAGCCTTTGTCTAGTCATAAACATTTATAACAGACCTCAGACTAAAATGATTTTGTTGTTTAAATATAGACTATAAAAGTGACAAACAGCCCGATGGTAAGTGCATTTTTAATACTCAAGTAAAATACTCTGTCTTCACAATTCAGACACGCTGTCTAGCAATAGCAATGTGCATTTTAAAAAATTAAAGGATAATGTTGGCGATTTTTAATATTAATAATATTTTCAACACTCCCCAGACAGAGACTAAAAAGAACAATGACCTGGCTCTATTCCTGGTTAATGTCTGTCAAACCTAATAGGCTATGACTCAAACCATGTATAATCAGTGACAGTAGTCCAAATAATAACAAGAAGATTGTCAGATGGTTGTAAGATTGAGATGCACATGGACAATAGTGCAAATGACCAACAGCAGCAGATATGATGCTAAAAACAGTCAGCAGCAGATTTACTGTTCTTACCTTATTTATTTTACTTTATATGAACACCACAGTGAGATTAGACTTGAAATATACATTCAGGCACAAGGACCAAATGCACTGTTTAGTGTTTGTAGGAAAAGCTAATTTATAATGCTGAATATAAAATAGCATTCAGTACACATGTTATAATGTTTGGTCTTTTTACATTAAAGTTTTTATACCAAAGAAAATATATAATAATGGTATTATGGAATTTAAAAGGTTTAATATAATTACACTGAATAATCTAGGTGATATACATATGTGCACACATTATTCTTTGGTCAATTCACTACAGCATACCTATTGGGGTGTCAAACAAGATAGGCTCAAAGACGATGCACCTGGAAACATAATCAAGTGTTGAAATGTTTACCAACAGCTACTGAAAGTAGGCGCATGGAGGTAAATTCAGGGGAGGAGCAATAGAAACAAGAGGGGATTTTGTTTGCTCATGGGGGTGAAAAAGCAGGGACCAAGTCTGAGCAGGCATGATGCAAGCCAGCTAAAGGCCGGAAGAGACTTGCAGATGAAAGTAGATTTAGGGAATCAGCTCATAGTTCCTGAGGGGAGAAGTCAGCACTAACCTAAGACTGGGCCTTGTGTTGTGGTCAGAAACACAGCAGACTGTGTATTTTATCAAGCTTACAGTTCCTTGGGAGGATGTTGTAGAAATGGCTTATCAGAGGAAATAACTGAAATACATAGATTCAGCCATGGGGGCAAAGGAGTGTGGCTGGAAAGTTAAAGTCCACCCAGTGGGGGTTGGTTGCGGGGGTTTTGTAGCCAAGTCAGCTGTCTGTCTACTAGGTGAGGTGGGTATAAAAGGACTGAGCCTAAGACAGACACACCGACGATGGTGCAGCAAGGTTGACTGAGTGGCTATGGCGCTGAAGAAAGGTGTGTGAATGGGGTAAACATAGGTAAGTGCTTTGAACAATTGTAAACTGCAACATAGGTGTCGATTATGCCTGCTAAGCTGAAGTAAACAAGCATAGGAGGACAGGCTTAACAAAAATGTTTGATACATGCCACAGGCCTGAGGCCTACTTCCTGGTTTAAGCATGAACAAGCTAACATGAGGATATATTAGAAGTCTGGGTGGAATATGATGCATTACAAAAGAAAGCGAAAAGAAGTTTGGCTGGGCTGAAACATTTGGTGAATTATCTAAAATGTTTGGTGGCTAGGACAGCATTTGAAATGTTTGCTAGAGATAGTGCTTGCTATGGCTTTGGTAAAAGCTAAGAGAGTAGATGAAGGGTTGTGTTGGGTCAGTGCAGGCAAAGAGGGGGGTGGTTCTGAGAAGCTGGAACACACTGTAGAGCCCTCTCTGTGACGTGGGCCCAACTCAAGGAAACATGAGTTAGTGAGATATAGTGCCCATCTGATGACCGTGTAGACTTGCCTTCACTCCTACACCCACATGTAATTTGTATTGCCATTGTTAGTGGTGTATTTTTCTTATGATTGACAATGTTGGTAGAACAGTGTCAGTGTTTGGATCACTGAGCGGACGTGGGTCTCATAGGTGATTACCATTTCAAGCCAGTCGGGGCAGCCACTGCTCAACCTGAGCAAATACAATGCAGATGCAATGTGTCAAGCCACAGAATTC